ACCTGAATGAATCATATATTAGATATAACGAACAAATTCCTTATCAAATATTTAAAAAAATGTTTTAGCGCATTGCAAACTTGAACCCGATGAAATAAATCTTGATTTATATTGATAATTAAAATTTTGAATTACGTATAACAGGACGGTATACAATCTATATGAAACAAATTCTACAATATATTTACGCATTACATACGTACAATGTATACATTAAAATATATGTTTATGATGGAATGCATTTTAACTCTTTCAGACACGCAACGTATATTTGAGGAAAAAAAAATGTATTTGATTTTTGTAACAGAGTTCTTTGTCATTGGGTAAACTTAGAATGCATTGCATTTTTCACCAATAGTGGACATGATTGAAGCACTTGATCATGGATTTTTTCTGTACCCAATTAGATTCCATCATTAAATGTAATTACATTAATTCAAGTAAATTCTGCAATGCCTAGAAATAGTTGACATTTCCTTTCCTTCAATTCGTAAGAAAGTTTATTTTGTGCATTTTTCAAGAAAAGTAAGGTTCACAATAACCTTTCTTGTTTTCGTAAAAATCTAATAATTTCTATCTATTCATCATACATTTAACTTTGGTAGAAAGACCATTTAGCAAGAAAGCCTCATTAACTTCTCACTAACGCAGTTGCTCATAAAAAGAAGGATGGCGTATGTGACTTAGTTCCTGATATCCTGTAGAATCCTCAGATTTATCAGAGTTGTCCACCGTTCGCTTCATTTCTCCACGTTCTTGGTACCGGCCATTATCACTGACATTATCATATATATCTCTATCCAGTGTAATTTCTTCTTTTGACGACTGTTGGATATTTTTCTCATGATTGTTTTCTTGTTTTTTCAATTTATTTCTGCAATTCAAAGATAAAATAACAAGTAAAATTAAATGTAAGTTCAATTTTTAAAAAAACATCTTTCGCATTAAAAAAGTGTTTGAATCTTTATTACTAACCTGTATAGTAAAATATACACGTTTAAAAAAAAAAAAAAACTCTTAAAGAAAACCATTCATGTAACATGATCTACCTCTTGGAGATATAAGAAATTTAAAATATATACACATGGATGATCGAAATTATGGACACTGGATGAAATAGCTACGTCTTTCCAATTATCAAAACGATAGGAAATTAGGAACAAACATGAGGATCATGGTAGCAAGAATAATAACATTAACTGCGTTTCGTTTCGAAAATCCAACACTTAAAATGTAAACATTACTTTACTATTTTAACACCCTTGAAAGCATGTTCCCTTAATACCTGTTGCTGCAAATAACGGCAGATTATTACAATAGCATATATCGTTTTATGCACTTTCTAAAATTTTGAATACGACCCATAAAATATAATATCTACAATTTTACTCAGATTATTTTGATATAATAAGTTCAATCAAAATCAATTAAACTCACCTGTAGACAGGCTCCCGTCTTAGCATCACATGTTCCATTAAAACACCCTTTGCTACATGTTTCATTACATCCGTAGCCGTGGAGTCTCATTGTACATTCTAATTTTGCAAATAATATTTATTTTCTTCAAATATAAAAAAATGACATTAAATATTGATTCAAAAAGAGAAAGTTATTAATACAAATAAAAAATATCCACTGCACATATTCTTTTGCATAAGTTTATACTATATATTTAGGGAAATAATAAACACATTACCTTGTGTACAGTTGATTCCCTGGAAACCTTTTTCACAGCCATTTAAGCACCTTCCATTTATATGATGACACTGTGCTTTTTCGAAGCAAAAACCGCAATCATGAATATAATTTAATCCATATTTCCCATCAGAACATACTACGAAAAAAAAAAAACAGATTCAAAGTGTATTTATTTTTAAAATTAATATAATAATAGCATTGAAGGATATCTTATGTCAATTTTCAGCTTTTGTACACTTCTTAATCACTAGATTCTATATCTTACTGATTGTAATGGAATGTTATTTATGTAGGTAATAAAATGTTTACTTTTGTCACATTTCGGATCCATCCATCCTGCCTGACAACCGCCCTTACATCCACCTGTTACTCTGCCACAAACACCAGGGACTCCACAGGTGATGCTGCATTTTTCCTGGCAGTTGTGCCCGTGAAACCCTATATTGCACCCTAAAAACGATTGAAATACTACAATTACAAAGTGTATAACTAGAATATTATTCATTGGGAAACTGTGGTCTTTGGTGAGTTTTCCTATGCATCACAACCTCTAAATTCTGCAAACATTGCTCGTAGATACTAAGTCCATAGACGAAAAACTAGACAATGTATGATTTATGAATGTGTTGATTAATAAGTATATTTTTAAAATGCCGTTAATGTTCCAGAAGAAGTACTTAAAAAATAAATAAATTAAAGTCATATTAAAAAGAAGAAATATTTACATTTATATATGTTTTTATTCTATGCATAATTGATTTGTAAAATGAAGTTCCGTTCGGTATTAATAATTATATTTGACAAGAATATGGATTTGATGTAAACTAAAGTTTTCCAACCTTCTGAACATCTTCCTTCTTGAAATCCTCTGTCACATCCACTAAAGCACGTTCCATTGACGTGATGGCATTGTTCAAAATTCAAGCACGAGCCACATGCTATATTACAATTTGGACCATAAAACCATCCATCACATTCTGCAAGATACATTTACTTATCATATCACATGTAAGCAAAACAAAAATGGCTGCAGATTTGTAACTCGCTGGACTACCAGAGTGATACAAGGTCCCCTATTGAAAAAATGTGTATATCTCTTGCGCAGAAATAAAACTGTTTTTCAATTTATTTCGCTGTATATTTACGATCCCATATCAAATATTAAAGACTGTGTGTTTCTAAGAAAAATACCTTGCTTCCATAACACAATATTCCACTAAAACCGCTGAAAATTACCCTCAGGGGCTTAAAATTGAAACCATTGAACATTACGCTTGTGTCTACTGCCATTTTGAGAGGAGAGACAAGAACTGCGAACGATAATATTGTTCTCCCGCCTACATCCAAGTCATTTTCAAAAGTTAACAAATTCGATGAATTTAAAATATTTGTTATAGAAAATTATATGGATTTTCATGAAATATTACTTATTTTGGGAAAAGGAGAGATAACTCTATAATTTTGGTAACACTTCTGTTTTCATAATAGATATCAAGGGAAAACGGAAAAAAAAAACAAAAAAAAAAAAAAAAAAACATCACCCCCCCCCCCCCGCAGTGACACAAAAATTCCATTTTACGGGTAACATGGACTGTTATTTCACAAATTCAAACCAAAGCTTTTTGTGTGTCACGGGGTGGGGACATATGTTTATTGAGAAAAAACAAAAAAAAATGATTATTTTTTACCAATTCCAAAGCAATTTACAACTGAAACATTATATTTTATTAATAAATTTATGTTTTATTTATTTGTCTAAAACATAAGAAAATATATAATCAACATTCACACATTCAAGACTATTTCAAAATATGGTGATGCTTGAAAGTCTGATTTTAATAGAAAATATAGTTTTCCCCCTTTTTTCAAGGGCTAGAGTGAGGAATAATTTACTATTTAGCTCTGGTATCAAGACAGTTCATCGATTTCTATTGAACTTTGTATTTAACAAAGAATTTATGGCCAAATTGCCATTTATATTGAATTAAATGGCTGTAAAATGTAGGCGGGCCTCGAGAATTAGCATGCGTATTTCTTTGGTCCAGTGTGATTAGGACGTGACTTGAATGTGAACTTTTGTTGTGATATTAGTTAGAAAATATGTTAGGCAGATATGCTTAGAGGTATTTAGATATATTAAGACAAATTTTTCGAGTTTTCAATATGAGTTTTCAATTTTTTTGTGGCACTTTAATTGCTTTTTTTTATTCTTTAAGGTCTGTTGTCCTTTTATTAAACCAATTTTTTTTTCATTTTCAATGAAAAATTAAGAAAACCAGTCAGGAGCTACAGATTTGCAGCTAGATTCTATTGAGTTAAGTACAGTCTTTTCATATGATTTCAACTTGACATGAAAATACCCCAATTTATACATAATTGACAAAACCGTTAAGCCTTTTGATTATGACGTCACAATGTATATAGCACCAAAAAATTAGTCTCAAGTTATTTACTAGATCTTTACCTTAAGTCGGAAGTTACTTGACAAAAATAGATTCAATTGCAGAAAACATTCGATTAAATTTTTACCCACTGATTAAATCATAGTTCTTATTATCGGTGTTTCAAACAACAATAATTTTGTTGGTGTCAAAGAAATGCATGCTTTTAACTAATATTTGAAGCAATATACCATTCTCGCAGAACGTTCCCTTCCAACCAGGGCTACATCCATGTTCACAGATCCCAGAGAATCTGTTACAACCTTTACAGTTTGGCTTACATTGTTCTGCACAATTCTTCCCGTGTCTATCAAGTGGGCATGCTGTAACGGAAATAGAAGGTAATAATGAAACATACTGAAATCAAATAGCAAGTAAATCCATATAGAAAAATTAAAAAAAAAACACGGATTTCAATAATGTGGAAATGTTTTATCAACATTGTCTGTTAAACGCCAAGTACTGCAATGATAAATGAAATGTAAGCATGTGTTCAAGTACTCGATGAAAAAGAAGATAATGAATATTGCAATACAATAATTTTTGACATCAAATTAATATCGTACGTAGATATTATTCTCCAATAAATTATGGACGTCATCAAGATATCGGTATTATCAGATCAGACACAAGTACATGTTTCAACATGTATATTAGAATTGAATATTTCACTATAAAATTAAGTATTTATTTAGACCATATCCATGCACCGTCTTTCGCAGTCTGAAGTGTGTGATTTGCCTAAACAGCTAAAATATTTTGGAAAGGACAGCTAGGTTGTGCTGCTCCACTAGCTTCCTACGACATTTACAATCCATTTTAAACTACACCAGTAATAACTGATATTGTTGTTTACGTTGA